TACTGTATCACATTGTATAATTATTGGATTGTTAAGCTAGATTACAACTTATTAAAATTGCTAATACAAAGCATATGTTATTTCGATCTTTTTATGATCGATATGATATGCATGTGACGTTGGATGTAGATCATTATGTCAACACTATAGTTTTTAGCTATAAAGACGGTGAAACTCTTTTTTCTTATATTAACTCTACAAGGTAAGATCAATTTATAACGCCTACCTCATTTCCTGTTTTGGTGCATAGATATGGAGTTACAACTTAAGCTATATATGTTTATTTCACTTCAGATTTACAGATCAAATCGAGCCATGAGGTAGGTTTTTTCTTTTTATTTAACTAAGTTAGCTCTTGGATATGTAGGTAATTGATGCTGATGCTAGTACAGTGGAAGATCATGATATATACTTCCACTGTTTTCTTTTACTTGCAACACAATTTATGCTCAGACACTTTTAGGAGGTAACTAATGATGGTAAACAAACAATTTTAATCAAAATAATCATTTTGACAGCGAGGATAGAGAAGGGTTAGGTACTATATATGTGTAAAAATTATATTGGTTTAATTTGTTTGTTTACATTGTATAATTTTGGCCTCAAAATGCATGCAACAAGGCTGTATTGCAAGTAAATAAAAATCAAAAGTTAGAATTAAGAAGATGAGACGATTATAATTAGTTTTGTAAATAATATATGAATATCTAAGAAATAAAGATTATTGCAATTTGTAACAGGACTCCAACCGTGTCAATCAGTGGCGTAACAAATACATTGGGAGTAAATCCATCTCCAATCATGGGCTTTTTCTCATCGAGGGGTCCAAACCAGAATAACCCTGGTATTTTAAAGATATACGTACTCATTATTTTTTTGATCTAATTATTACTTCTTTCATTCCTATTTGTTTGTCTCGTCGAAATGTATTTTATTAAGGATTGAACCAAAATATAGGAAGTAGGTAATAAGAGTATCTTTGTCTTTTATACTTTTATTAATGTATACAAGCGGGGTTAACGGTGGAGACAGAGAAATCTTTAAGGCCCATCTTAGAAAGGAATACGGGGCAAACAAATAGGGATGGACAGAGGGATTCTATAATAAATTCATTCATAAAATATATTCCTTAGCATGCACAATATAGTTATTTAAAGTAATTTTTCCTTGTGCGTATTCATTTACTACAGCCTGATGTTACAGCTCCTAGGGGTAATGCATGATCTGTGCACCGAGGTGCACCATGCACATGGTGCACCTGGTTTAATAATAAAAAAAAAAGGCGGAAATAACATTTAGGTTTTTTTAAAAAGAACATGCATTATTAAAGAACATAAAGACATTAAAAAAGAACATGATAAAAACTTTATTAAAATTTTATGAAAAATTACACATTAATGGATAAAAAAGTTTACCAAAGATATCATTTTCCCAAAAATAGTTTTTTCTCTCCAAAAATTCAACTTTGCATAATAATTTTAGTTTTCTCTCTCTAAAATATTTTCAACTAAAAAAATTAAGATTTCATTTTCAAATTAAATTTCAAAATTCAAAATAATATATGTTAAAAGAACATAAGTTATAATGTAAATAATATATAATTCATACCCGAAGAACTCACTGATCAAACTCAAAGAACATACGGTAGTAAAAAATGATATATGATAATTCAAAAAAGAATTGTCGTCACTCGTTATCTCAAAGAACATACAAGCCAAATTCAAAGAACATACTTTGTATTATTGAAACCCAAAAAACATGTTTAATCAACCTATGTTAAAGAACATAAGTATAAAAGAACGTATTATCAAACATATATGGGTATGTTCTTCGTCAAACACAATATGTTTTTTATTAAACAACTGTATGTTCTTTCCACCTTATGGGTGCACCATGCATATGGTGCACTCGGGTGTACCATCCTATTTTCACTTGGGGTAGATATTCTTGCTGCTTACCCTATAGAAATCTTTCAAAATTCTTATTGCATGTTAACCAAAACATCAATGGCTACTCCTCATGTTACTGGTATTGCGGCTCTTATTAAGAAGCAACATCCTGATTGGAGTACAACAGCTATCAAATCAGCAATCATGACTACAGGTATGTTGTGTACACAAACCACATGATATATATATATATATATATATATATATATATATATATATATATATATATATATATATATATATATATATATATATATATATATATATATATATAGCAATTACATACGGTTTATGGATCTGGTTCGGTAATGTAGAATTGATTTAAAGTAAATCACTATACACATCTAAAATGCAGCAAGTAATAATAATGCAACAAGTCCCCTTGATAATGAAGGGATGCCTATACGTGACAGTGACAAGATAAGTGATGCTAACCCATTTGCATACGGCCATACGGGTCGGGCCACGTTAAACCGAATGCGGCAATGGATCCTGGGTTGGTTTATGACATGAACCAATATGATTACCTAAACTTCCTGTGTGCATATCCTCATGATAGTACAACTCTTAAAGAATTTAGCCAACAACATTCTTACAAATGCCCGTGCTCCTTCAACATCTTGGATTTCAATTATCCTTCCATATCTATCGTGAATTTTACCGGCAATGCGATAGTTACTTGAAATTTGAAGAATGTTGGACAACCTGGAACCGCATTGAGCCGCCACCAGGTGTCTTAATTGTGGTGGAGCCTAAGACTTTGGTAGTCTCTCAAAAAGATCAAATCATTATGTTTAAACTTATTATCTGATATCAATCATCTCTCCACTGACTACATTTTTAGAAGTTTGGTGTGGTCTGATGCTAAACATGTTGTTAGAAGTCCTATTACGGTCAAGGCCAAAATAGGTAGATAGTTGTCTATAGTATTTGGAAAAATTCATGGGAATAATTCCACCTTTGGGCCGTTCGTTTTTAATAATCGCACTTTTGAAATATTTTTTAATAATCCGACCTTTACCCCCCATTCTTTTTTGAAGACACGTTTGATAGATGACATTTCATATATTTGCAATAGTAAGCAATAGATGATAAGATTACTAAATATAGTGATAGAGTATAAAACATATTCCTGAGCCTTAATTATCATCTTAATCTTTTGTTGAATTGCTCTTCTAACATGGTATCGAAGCCAGGTTCAAATCTCACCCACCCCCCACTTTCAAGTAGAATATTTCGCACAGGGTATCCGGAGAGCTCATGTACGGTGCATCCACACTTCAAGCCCAATGGACTCTCATGTGAGGGATCGTGATAGAGTATATTTTTGGGCCTCAACCATCAGCTTAATTTTTTAATTACGTAAAATAATAAACATTAATTACATTGATCGACGCGTATTTTTAACATGTATTCCAAAATTAATACCTTTTTAATTAAAAAAAAAAGTATATTATATTGTTATATAATGCTCTAGAAGCTCTCGTTAGCAATATCCATCGTAACAATATATTTTATTTAATTCTAGTAATTATGTATTGAAATTTGTGACTAATAGGTATGTGGCTTGAAATTCAGAGCTTTTCCGATGATGAAAGCTATGGCTCAATTCCCAAAAAGTTGAAAGAAGCTTGCGATAATAAACAAGATATGACATTTAAGTGCAATAGGTCAATACATCATCAACTTTACTTTTTACAGTCTTGTACTGTATGCATGCATTACTCTGTTGTACTCTCTCTATTTTTTTTTTTTTAATTTTTTATTTTCATGTTAAATTCTGAAAGCTTATAGGAGCTAGATATTTTTAACAAGGTATGGAGAAATTGATTAATTTAGAAAAAAATTGCACCTTCAGTGAAAAGTTGAGCCCTAGAGATGACAAGCATGGGCATGGCACCCACACCCTATCTACGGCGAAAGGGAATATTGTCCCATTCGCAAGCTGGGGAGGACTCGCGAATGGGACAGCTAAAGGAATGGCACCAAAGCGCGGTTGGTGGCCTACAAGACTTTGGGGAATGTTCAATGTCCTACATCTAAAACCACAGGAAGCGATGATATAGATATGATGGCTGCTATTGATGACGACGTTGACATTATAAATTATTCTCAAGGATATTCTAGTTCTAGTGGTTATTTTGATGATGCTGCAGGAATAGCTACCTTCCATGCCATGAAGAATGGCATCCTCACTATTGCTGGTGCAGGAAATAGTGGGCCAAATCCCGGGATTGTTGGAAACAATTATCCATGGGTCTTATCTGTTGGTGCGTCTACTACTGATCGTGTTTTTTCTGCCCATGTCTTACTCGGCAAACATCAAAAGCTCAAGGTTCGTATATACGTATATCATTTAATTTATTTATATGTTTACAAACGAACAGTCAAGCATAGTTGTTAAAATTCCGATTCGGATCTTACGATCCTACAATTCTACGATCCAAAATTGCGTGATCGATCCGGATTTTTGGTAGGATCTTAAGTTTGTAGGATCTTATGATCTTACTCTGATATTAATTATGAGTGGTAGGATCTCAACACGATCGTACGATTTTATTATGATCCTACGATCCAATCCAACATTTCACTATAATATGAGACTTTAATTTATTTTGACATATTTTTTATTACTTTTTAGATTATATGCACCTAAATTTAATGTATTCAATAATTATCGCTAATAAATTAGCAAATCCGTGACATTAATATGATTTTATCAATTGACAACTTGCAATTGTCATAGTTAAGGTCTAATTCTTTACAAATTTGCACATAATTTATCAATTTAAACTTGTGTTATTAATCTTCTAACTACCATACAAACAAAGCTAAATGAAGATCGACATTTCTTAAGCAAAAAAATGTCTTTTAGCATTGAAACCCCTTTTCAAAAACTGTTTTTAAGTCAATTTATAACATAATATATAATATTATTTGTTATTAAGTAGGATCTTACGATCATACGATACAATTCTATTGATTCGATCCCACCCCCCTCATTAATTAATTAGCATATGTACGGTGTATTAATTAACTAAGACAATTTAATTTAATTTCTTCTTTTTGCTCAACACACATCCATTATATTCCTTCTAGTTCTACCTACTATACTCTTGGAATTTCCTTAGACCAGCATCATTCAAATGGCTTCAGACTCTGATCTCTACCAGAATCTGATCTCGACCGACGTCCATTTCAAGATGTTTACCTTTCTTCAACACACATACCGCACCTTTTTCTAAGCCGACTAATCCCTCGACTATTGATCAGTCTAAGTGTGAGTCCGAGTCCGAGTCTGAGTCTGATTTTATCGCTCGTAAGTTTGATGATAAATATGAAAGGACAAAGTTGGTTAATATCATGAAAGCTGGTTTTCAGCTCTTATTTTCCGAAGTTGATGACAAAAGTCAATATACCTCTCTTGGAATAAAGGTAAATTTTTGCTATTGTAATTGATCACCATTTGACATTTACACTATTCATATACGAGATTTGACTTAAGTTCTTTAAAATGCGAAACAACTAATAATAGGTTATATTGGAGATTGATCATGAACAAATTCAAGAGGGACCTTGAAGACTCAGCCAAGGCAACACCTTGCGATGCATCTCCGACATATAAATTGGAAGCCGAAGGTTCGATCTAAAAATTCTAAATGCTACTACCTCTATCTCTTTTATTAGTCGGATAATCACATCGGAGTTTTGTTATTTTTTAAGAGTAAAGTCGTGATCCGTCTAATTAATTTTAGCATTAAAAAATAATTCAAAATCATTAAATCACAACCGTTTAATTTATAAAATTGTGATGGTCGTTTTTCTTGTAGAATTTTCAGTGATCCCGTATAATTATTTACACAATATGTCATGAGGCAAACTTAAAAGAAAAAGGGGCAAATGAAAGGTGTACGTAGAAGGATTTCAACTACACTCGTATTATATATTTGCTGTTGCTTGCAGATGCAATTGGATTAATTTTGGACTATGCAGGATTTTGGATACATAGTTGCTCCTCTGTAAGTTGAGCTTTATGTAATTTGATTTTGGTTGAAGATTTTGTCCACATTTAATTTATTACGTTTAATTTTCCGTTATGTTTGGGTTTAAACATTAAATCTCGCACTTATTTAAATATTTCGTATACCAATAGGTTCATCAACACATAATAACTCTAGTGGCCATCGCATAGTAAACTAACTCAGAGGCACGTACCAATAAAGTGTTAACTAAAGGTAGGAGTTTGAATCTTACTAAGTGAGCTGAGGGTGTTTGGGGTCGGGTAGGGTGATCAGCTCTTATACATCCTTCCCTCTACTCCCAAGTGCCTAATTCGCAAATACTGGACCAAAAATAAGGGTTGAGGCCAGGTCAAAATAGATCTTCCTTATCGTAAAAATAAAATAAGAATATAAATAGTAAATAAACACGTGATCACTTATTATATAACTCAAGTTTAATGGTCAATAGATTTGATAATATATTGAAAAGGTTGATGATCCTTACTCGATACAATAGCTTACAAGAGTAAATTTAAGAAGTTATTGCACCTTCATTATTAGTTTCATAGTTTGAATAACATTGACGCATTTTGTATACCTAAAGTTTATTATGCATCATTTATAATGCAAATTTAAAGACGTTAGGGCTTGATTTTTGTTGGTTTTTGTAACGTAGGTACTAACCGATGAACTCGTAACTTCATCGGATGAGAAGACACCCCTTTTAAATCTTTGTGGTAGAAATACAGAAGAAAGCAATCAATCAAGCAGTGGCTATGCAGAGGTGATTATATATTTCGTACTTTCTTCGTTCGTTTATTTATTTTTTATTTATTTTTTTTTTTTCAATTTGGACTCATCATATAACAAGATGATGAGAGCCTTTTCTTTTTTTGAACTTCAGGTGGTGTTTTTTGCACTCGTTGAAGGTCTAATTGATGATAAACTCATTTCTGATAGTGAGCAACTGAAGAAGTTTTTGAAAGATCTTGGCGAAAAAAAAAATGGTAGGAACTCGGATATCGAAAACACAAATTTTTTTAGCAAGAAGTGTTTTTGAGTAATAATTTATCAATGTATGAATTGAAGTGTTCTCAACCTCATTAATATTCGATTATACCATTTTTGTAGGGAATTTGGTCAAAGGTGCATGCTACATGTTCAAGTGTTGCCGAGAATTAACTTTGTTCTCATTAGGCAGTGTTATGCACAGCTTGTTGGTGGCTTGACGTACATACATCTGCAATAATCATATAAGATTAATTAGCAGATGATATTAAAGGACTAGCTCAAGTCAGCGTAATATAAAAGTTACGGGCTCAAATCTTATCTACCGTTCCTTTCAAATAGAATATTGAAACATGCATGGGGTATAGGGGGACCGAAATAAACTTAATTGTATAATTAATACTCCGTATAAGAATATTTTTGATACTACAAATTACTCATCATATATATATATACTCGATTGATTAGCTACTAAAAGTAGTGCAACTTTTTTTTATTTTTTTTATTCTTAATTTTATTACCCAATTTCAAAGTTTAAAATATGATTGGTCTAACTTCTACGAAAATATAAATATGATATACTCCCGAGTCCCATTAATTGCCTCAATAGTTGACAAAAGATATATGTGTAAAATCACCAAACGCTACCTTCTTTCGAGAAACGAAGAGAGTGGTAATAATGAAGAATAATTAAGAATTTTTATTTATCATAAACATTTTCTCAATAAATATACATTTGGGTATAAATTCTTTTGACATATTAAAAGGACGACATGAAATCACATGCTTTAAACAATATTGGGAAATATAGGATATGCGTGCGCATGGCGTGGCGTGGCTTGTTAAGTCACAGTGACAATTTTCATGTACTTCCTCCGTTTTTTTTAACTTGACTCGCTTTGACTTTTACACTATTCAACACCTCTTCTTTGACCGTCTTTTGTGAATTATATGTAAGGAAAAACATACTCATGTGGGATATTGTTAGTTTCGTCTCAATAAGTACTATCATAATATATAACTTTTATAATTTTTACTTATGGAGAATTGATGTTATTGATAGTTAAAGTTCTGCATTGGCAAGCGTGATAAATGAAACAAGTCAAGTAAAAAAGAACAAAAGAAGTATGTGTTATCTTGGGCTGGGTTTACTTGTAATTTTCGTAATATTGCATTGTATAGACGTACAGTATACCTCATTTCATGTCCTTCAAATTTCTTTATCTATAATGTCCAATGCAAATCATTGGCCTTATATATAAAAAGTATTTTTTTTTTATCAATTGTTCATAAACTAGTTTATTCATATAATTACACGGTTACACCAACCACATATAGAATGTTGAGGAGAAAAATGTGGTTAAAAATTGCAAATTTAGTTGAAAATGTCTTTATAATATAATTTGTCAATATAATCACCCACTTGTAATAATTTGGAATAGCAAAGAATTTCTCCACCCATTCATTGCAAATTTCTGTGCTATGTAATTAAGGTAGAATTAATTAGCTATCTATAAGTTAATCATACTCCTTACTATCTAAACAAAATTTTAAAGAGAAATTTATTTTAAAAGGGGTACAAATATTAATCATCCTGATTTGTTTTAGATCGATTGAAAAAGAAAGGGAAAGAAGAGAAAGAAGGATTTTGTTCAACAATGCAAATTCCAATGCTTTTACAACATTGTCTCTTATTATCATCACTTCTTTTTTCATTACAACAATTACCTACCTATGCTGCCCCTAAGGTAAGTCATCAATTTGCCTTGATCGATCATCTTCGTCTTCGATCTTTGACTAAGCAATCGATTGAATTCAAACTGTGATATGCGTAAAAGAAAAGTGTGACGATTAAAGAAAAATGTAAATTTAATTTTGATCATTGTTATATTTTTTTTTGCATGTAGCATTATATAGTCTACTTGGGCTCTCACCACGCAGAACCTCGTTTATTAGCCAGTCCCGAGACTATTACAAAGTCCCATCATGACTTGATTTCTTCTGTATTAAGGAGGTATAATACAAATGTGTCATATTTATTAATTGTATCTTGCCTTAGATATTTTATTTACTTGAAAAGGGGTAATTAATTAATTGTTGAACTTCAATTAATTATCCTTTTGTTTGATTATGTTTGCATACATGGAACAGTGATTCTGAATCATCTTCAGAAAGGATAATATATTCTTATAATAAGATATATAATGGCTTTGCTGCAACATTACACGAAGAAGAGGCCAATGAACTCTCAAGTAAGGCATAGATGAATTTTTTTTTTAATAGCAAAAATATTTCATTAATTAAAAGTCATACGACATCTACAATAGAGAATCTAAATATATACAACATCCGTACGTTTTTTTTTTATTTTATTTTATTTATTTATTTATTTATCATCCAACTTCTGCTTTAAATCTAATAGTTCTCTCTTTTTTACTCACGCCTTACCCCCTCGTTTCTATTGGTATATTAAAGCCCCGTTTGGGTTGATGTAAAATATATTCATGGAAAATGATTTTCTCATTTTATTTTTTTTTGGTTTGTGAAGGGTGGAAAACAATTTTTGCAATGGTGGAAAATTGCATCCTTAATGATGGAAAATATTTTCCTTTACAAAACAAGGAAAATCACATTTTCCTCCCTTTTCCTTACCTCCTTTCTATTTCCCTCTCATCCATCTTCACATTCCTACTCCTATGTTTTATTTTTCCTGAACTTTTCTTGTATGCAATCAAATAAAGAAAAACTAATTTACAATTTTTTTTTCCATGAAAATGTGTTTTCCATGAATATTAATTTATCATTGAAAATGTTTTACATCAAATCAAACAGAACCTAAATAGTAAAATTAGAAAAAATGAAGAAATTATTTAATTTAATTAGCTCATTCTAAAAATATTTTTCATCTAATTTATTAATGCATGGTTTAACTTTCATGTAGAGCATCCAAGTGTTGTATCAATATTTGAAAGTCGAATTCTTGAATCGACAACGACTCGATCAGCGGATTTCTTAGGATTACATTATCCACCTTCCAACCTTGAAGATTCAATATGGCATAAGGCAAACTTAGGAGATGATATCATTTTAGCAAACATAGATTCCGGTAAGTTTTGCGTTGATCCAATATTATTTTTTGTTTCGTTTTGAGAGCATACGAAAAAAAGTTTCTAAAGACATATTTGATTAGTATTACATGATTCGTTTTATAATCATCGATTTTAGAAGTACAACACAGTACAACTTTGTAAAATATACAAGTCAAAAAAAAAAAAAAAAAAAAAAACTGATAGCAATATTGTACATAATTAAATTCAAGTATAAAGTAAATACCATAACTATTTGAAAAATTTGCCATTAACAAAACAATCTTTAGGCCGTTTTTTTTTTTTTTTTAAAATACAACATTTTAATTATTTTGTAATAATATAAACTTTTGGGGTATTAATTTTAAACAGACATAACCGGATGCAACCGGATAAACAAGTTACCACTGCCACGTGTCACAATATGATAGGCTTAAATAAGTTTCTATTTTTTTTTCTCTCCTTCCCCAAACACCACCACTGCTCCACCCTCTCTCGCCATCCCCACCACCACTGTACCACTTCGTACCATCATCACCACCAAAACCGACCCTCCCCTTCCCGACCACAGCTACCAACCCCACCACCAGCCGAAATTCCCACATAACCTACCAACCAGCCTCGATTCCACCCCCACAACCCCCATTCCACCTCTCCCGACTACCGCAGCCAACCAAGACCACCTCCCACAAACCATACCATTCCACCAACGAGCCGCTACCACCAGCAGCCACCTCACAAACCGCGCTGCCACCAGCCACCAAAAACTCCTACACAGCACACCTCACGAACCCAGCAGCCGCTGCTACTATCTCTCCTTGCACCCGCATCACCAATTCCCCAATTGCGCACCAAATCACAAACAACGCCACCAATTGCCACCAATCCGCCATCCTCATTCAGCAATTCGCCACCAATTTTCAACATTGTTGCCCTCCACCATTAATTTTGTTGAGATTTGTGATTGATGGTGATGACGGGCATGATGTGTGAAGAAGAGAGTAGGGTCGGGGGTGGTGCCGGTGGTCGGAGATTAAGGATGGGCGAGTAGGTAGGCTCGGGGTGGGGGAGGTGGGCTTGTCACCGGCGGCTAGCGGGGCAGGGGGCTGGACATGGAGGGGCCTTTTTTTTTTTTTTTTTTTTGCTTTTTGTAAATCAATTTTAATAATTCAAATTTTAATGTTTAGACAAATTACATAAGACCACTCTCAATGGTGAGCAAAAAAATGCTCACCTACTCTCTCTCTACCCACTTTCTCTCTCAACAAATCACTTTTGTTCATGGGCAAATTTTTTTCACATTTTCTCTCCCAATGGTGAGCAAAAAAAATGCCCACCCACCACTCTCTCTCTCTTACTTTTTCAATACCCCAACATTACTTTCTCTCTCCTACACAACACTTCTTTATTTATTTATTTCATTTATATTTTAACAATGTTACTCCAAATAAATAAAAGTTAGTTTAAATTTGTGTAACTTATATTTTTTATTTTTGTCTTTTTTATCGTTAAAATTTGTCGTAAAATTAAGTACGTTATATAAAAAAATAGTAAAAAAAAGCTCAAAATTTGTTAAATGTTTTTATTTATTTTAAAAGCGGTACAATACTAGAAACCAATTACATTTGCAACGTCATGCGTAATTAAACTTAGGAAATAAAATAAACACAACAACTAAAAAATAACTCGACTGCGTACGGAAAAGTAGCTACGCCATAGTACTTGGCTTTATTTATATTAAGTTGTGCTAATTTCTCCCTAATTACGTGGCCCGTATCGCTGCCAAATATGTTCGACTAAATCACGTTTCAGAGATAGATGAATTTCTCTGTCACGGAGGGAAGCTTTTCGCTGTAGAAATGCGTTGAAGTCAAAGGTTGTAGGTCGGCCTACATTGAATTCAAACGGTGGCGTTGTAGATGTTGATGCTGGTGTTGATTCTTGTTGTTCTTCTTCGTAGAAGGCTCTTAGAACTTCGGCTCGAGTGTAGTTATGGCGCTCATCTTCAACAATCATGTTGTGCATAATGATACATGCTTTCATTATGTCTCGCAGTATGTCCTCATCGTACGCCAGTGACGGTTTTCGTATTATTGCAAATCGAGCTTGCAAAACACCGAATGCTCTTTCAACGTCCTTTCGAGCAGCAGCCTGGTGGTCAGCGAACAATTTATCTTTTTGAAGTTGACGGGTTGTGATACCCTGAACAAAATTTGCCCACTTCGGATAAATACCGTCGGCTAAGTAATATGCCATGTTGTATTCATGGCCGTTAACGGTAAAATTTACCGGAGGAGCTCGACCATGCAGAACCTCATCGAACACTGGGGAACGGTATAAGACATTAAGGTCATTACAAGATCCAGGAATCCCAAAGAAGGAATGCCATATCCATAAATCCTGATCTGCAACGGCTTCCAGTATTAGCGTTGCTTTCTTGTTCCTATAGGCGTACTGCGCTTTCCATGCCGTTGGACAGTTCTTCCATTCCCAATGCATGCAATCAATGCTGCCTATCATGCCTGGAAAACCACGCAGTTCATTTTGATGCAGTATTCTGGCCAATTCATCAGTTGTAGGGTTTCGCATGTACTCGGTTCCGAACTGCTCAATGACACCGGTACAAAAACGTTGAAGGGCAACTCGAGCGGTTGACTCACTGATCCGAACGTATTCATCCACGGCGTCCGCAGCCATGCCGTAGCCTAACATTCTTATCGCCGCTGTACATTTTTGCAGAGGTGATAAACCTAACCTTCCAGCTGCATCCCTACGCTGCTGGAAGTAAACATCACCTTCAACGACCTTGTTCATTATATGTACAAACAAAGGTCGTTGCATACGAAATCTTCTTCTAAATTGGGTGGTGTTGTACACAGGATTATCGGAAAAGTAATCATTAAACAACCTGGCATGTCCAATTTCCCTATCTCTTCTATTCGTACCCCCTCTAGGTTTTTTTTGAAGAGTGTTGGGATTGTGTTTGGGGCATGAGGACAGATGGGGGTTGGTATGTGAAGAGTTCATCAACAAGTTGGTCATATTCTTCAGTATTTGAAGAAGATGAGCTTGAACTTGAGCTTGATGATGGTCTAGAATACATCTCGTATTAATATTGTTACTTGATGAAAGGGTGTGGTTGTGGATATGTGCCATGCCTACTATATATAGCAAAAATATCAAATGAATATGTGGTTACAAATCTGAATGACCACACCAAGTACAGGAATCAAATTTTCAACCACGGAATAGGTATACTATGCTAGTTGACAGTGACAAGTCTTGAGTGCAATAATGTCGGTATCAATGACACAAAGGTAAAGCATTCTGATAAAGTGAATATAGGAAAACGTGGCTATACAATGGCAAAGATTTATTGTAATTATGTCGGCATCAATGACACAAAGTTAAAGCATTCTGATAAAGTGAAATCAGAAAACTGTGACTACACAATGACAAAGATTTAAAGCAATTATGTCGGTATGAATGGAAACTTAAATCAACTTGTTAAACAACTTGTCATTCAATATTGGAAAATCAGAATACAAGTGTACATCTTACATTGAGATTAACCACACCACTAATACAACTTAAAAATAAAAGACTAAATTGCGCTTAATAAATAAAAGACTACAACCAAACATGCTTAAAGGCCTTGTAATTTACCCAGTAAAAAATTCTTGTACGACTCTTCTTCAGGAGTGAGTGGCGTAGGCGAATTCTTCATAGCTTGCACCATATCAAACCAGGTTTTCATCTTATGAATGTCAAGTTCCTCCCTTTTCCTCTGTTCCTTGTCTTTTTCAATTTTGATCCTCTCTTCCTTCAGAATGGCCTCCCTCTCGCGAATTGTAGCAAATTCCTTCATTCGTTCGCTAAGCTCAGACGAACCACTTTCTGTTGCTACTGCTTTCCCTTTACGCTTCGCCTTTGCCTTCTTGACACCCTCGGGTCGTTGTAAACCGCCAGATGAAAAACCATCCGTAGGGGTTTCATCCTCTACATCATCTCTGGACCTCTTCCCACTTCCAGCACTACCTTCTTCCTCAGCATCACAAGCGACTTTTCTTTCCTTCAAGGACATTGACCATCTCAGCTTTGGTCTCCATTTTGGATCCTTGTTAAGCATTTCAATTGCGTGAGGAAAAGTGAAATTGCGACCTTGGACGACATGAAAAAGCTTCGCCGCACTTTTCATACAATCAGCTTCTTTGTAACCACTCCCTCCCTCCGGAAGTCTACCTGCTTCATCATAGCAAGATATCCATTGCAGTGTGTCCGCTGCCAACCTTCTCCAGTGCGACGTCAGACTCTTAATAGGCCTTGGCGGAATTATATGCGGCTTCTGCGTATGCAAAGTTTGATATGCTGCATGTACATTGCGCCATAGGCTAGTTGCTTTTTGGCTTGTACTTTTAATAGCATCCTCGCTAATCTGCAAGTACAACCCAATCAGAGCTTCATCTTCCACAACAGACCAAATACGGGTAGCTCGTGCAGGAACCTGGTTGGGTTCCAACAAGCGAACTGGTGGAGGAGGATACTGCGGCGTCTCTGGTACGCTTTTCTCTTCGCTCTCATCGAAGAGTGTGTTACTACCAAGATCAGTTTCGGGTGTACGATCTTCATTAGCAGGGTTTTGTAGGGGAACCTCAGTGGGTGTCTGATGCAGTGGAGGTGGTTGCGAAGACATATTGCCCATTCATTGCAAGAACAATTGAAACTCGGGATTAGTTAGGAAATCATCACTAAAACCCGAAAACTGTTGACGGAAATTTGGGTTGTTTGGATCCATTAAAAAATTCTGCATCAAAAAACAAAAGATAAATATCGTTACAAACATTTACTCAAAAAACAAATTAAAATGACAACAAATCCAAAAAAATATCAACAACTTTCTTCAATTGCATAATGCAATTACATTACATGCCATACAATATAATTTTTTTTTCTCACAATATAACATATATACTAATTTTAACACATAACTACATGTACATATTGAAAAAAATAATTAACCAATAATTGCAACACTTTAAGAACTATAAATTTAGAAATTTATTGAGAAAATATATACAACTTTGTTTAATAACATAATGCAATATAATTTCGTGGCCTATAATATTGATTTTTTTCCAAAAAACCAAACATATACTAATTTTATTATGTAACTACATTTATATATAGCAAAAAAAATTAACCAATAATTGCAACACTTTAAATAACTACAAATTTAGTAATTTATGGAGAAAATATACACAACTTTGTTTAATTACATAATGCAATTTAATTTCGTGGCCTATCATTTTTTTTTTCCATAAAATCACATATATACTAATTTTATTACGTAACTACATTTATATATAGCAAAAAAAATTAACCAATAATTGCAACACTTTAATAACTACAAATAGAAATTTATGGAAAAAATATACACAACTTTGTTTAATTACATATTGCAATATAATTACATGGCCTACAATTATATTTTTTTTTTACAAAATCACATATATACTAATTATATTATATAACTGATTTTAATAATTAAAAAAAAATTATTTACCTGAATATGGCTGAATTGCAACAACAATATTCTTCTACAAATTAAAAATACTTTTAAGAAAATTAAAATGTGGAGGATTTAAAGTGTTTACGAAATTATATCAAAATATATCAAAATGCATGTCTATTTATAGAGAATTTAATTTTATGACCGTTGGTAATTTTTTTTTTTTTTTTTTACAAAATATATTTTTCTGAAAATAGATTATAAATAAATAACCGTTGTAAACGGCTAGTATTTTCTGATTGGCTACTCCGCTGTAGCTGCCACGCGTCGCCTCGTCATTCGCCAACACCGTGCACGCGTCAGACGCACTAAGCTTTTTTTTTTAAAAAATCCGGAAACTCAAAACGACGCTTTTTGAGGCGCGCCTTTGAGGCAGCTTCATCAAAACGCGTCGTTTTGATGGTGGGGTGGGCGAAATTTTTTTAGTGGGTCTGCCAGGTTTGGGCCCCACTTGAGTTACTGTTCATCACAAAAAATGCTCAAGTTTTGAGCTTTTTTAAAAATGCTCATGGGCTTTTTTTTCCATTTCGACAAATTCTCACCATTGTAACCATTGATCATTTTTTTTCCTCACAAAAAATGCTCATGAGCAAAAAAATTTCTCACCATTGCTAGTGCTCTAATGATAACATTTCAAATGTAACCTGTTTTTTAGGTTATAAGTTTTTTGTCTGGTTTAAAATTAACTTCCCCAAAGGATATATTATTATAAAATAATTCAAAGGTTGTATTATTATAAAATAACCAGCCATAGGTTGTATTATTAATGGCTATTTTTCCTAACGATTTTTACAATAATAAAATGAATGCATAAGGGCGTTAGATAAAATTATTAAAAAGTACAAATATTAACGTACATGAATAAACATTAATTACATCGATTGACGTGTGATTTTGACACATATTTTCTAAAATTAATACCATTTTAATGAGGAAGTATATTAGAATGTTAGATGATCTAATGCCTCGAGAGCTGCATGACACTTTATTTTTATGTACTATGTATTGAAATTTGAGATAGGTGTGTGGCCGGAGATTCAAAGCTTTTCTGATGATGAAAACTATGGCCCGATTCCCAAAAAGTTCAAAGGAGCCTGCGAAAATAAATATGATCCGACATTCAAGTGCAATAGGTCATTATATCATCAACTTTACTTCTTACAATACTGTACTGTATGTATTCATTACTTTTTAATCTTGTTTTTTTAAAGGTCTCATTTTGAATTTTTTTTATTTAAAAAAATTCATGTAAATCCAGGAAGCTTATAGGAGCCAGATATTTTTACAAGGCCATGGAGAAGAATAGTAATTTACAAGAAAATTGTACTTTCAATCAAAAGTTGAGCCCTAGAGATGACACAGACGGGCATGGCACCCACACCCTATCAACGGCGGGAGGGAGTATCGTCCCATTCGCAAGCTGGGGAGGACTCGCGAATGGGACAGCTATAGGAATGGCACCAAAAGCGCGATTGGTGGCCTACAAGACGAATTGGAACGTTCAATGCCCTACATTTAAAACCATAGGAAGCAATGAAATAGATGTAATGGCTGCTTTCGAAGCTGCTATTGATGATGGCGTTGACGTTATAAATTATTCTCAAGCATCAAACAATAGTGCTTATCTAGATGATGGTACGGGAATTGCTACCTTCCATGCCATGAAGAATGGCATCCTCACTATTGCTGGTGCGGGAAATAGTGGGCCGAATGCCGGGACTGCTGCAAATAATTATCCATGGGTGCTATCTGTTGGTGCGTCTACTATTGATCGTGTTTTTTCTGCTCACGTTCTGCTCGGCAACAATCAAAAGATCAAGGTATGTATGTATATGCACATATATTTATATGCTATATATTGATTGATGAGATGGTTAAACTTGTCCGTAAGAAAACATGATATAAAAAAAAGAAAAAAAAAAAAAAAAAGTGTCAACCGAATAAAAACAACAGAGAAATTATTTCTTAAAAAGAAATTCTAAGCCTCTTATTACCTAACTTGCTTTGACAATCATGGAATCATAGTTTCAAGTGGGTAATATAATTATTCTAAACTCCTTTTCCCAAAATTCAATATGGAGTAATAAATTAAAATTAAACTATTTACTGCAGGGTACACGGTTTTATGATTTTGTATCAAAAGTTGATGTTCCTAGTGAATTGTACCCACTAATCACTGGTGCAGATGCTCGCATATCTGGTGCTAATGTTAGCGATGCGTAAGTTTGATTAATCTTCTTCTTCTTAATTTTTATTTTTTTATTTATTTTTTTAATATACTTTTAAATAATTAAGTTAAAAACCACCTCAACAAAAAATTTATGTTGTTGGTTGAGTCCCTAACATACCCATCGCTTAACATTTTATTTTTAAAGGAGGTGGTGGCTGAGATTCGAGCTCGTAACCTTCTTGTTACATTATCTTTGATACTCTGTTAAAGGATAATCTCAACCAAAAACTTAATCCGATGGTTGAGGCCTAGTAATAGATTTTATACTGTATTACATTGTATAATTATTGAATTGTTAAGCTAGATTACAACTTATTAAAATTGCTAATACAAAGCATATGTTATTTCTTTTTATGATCGATATGATATGCATGTGACGTTGGATGTAGATCATTATGTCAAGGAGGAAGTATCGATGTTACGAAGGTGACGGGAAAGATTTTGGTATGTCGCAACGCTGGAAGAATTGTTGCAAAAGATGAAACATTGGCTAGTGTTGTAGCTAGAGATGCTGGGGCTGTTGGGATGATCTTTGTATATGAAGAGAAGATAGGAGATGGATTTACCCTTAGCCAATTTCATGCAGTCAACACTATAGTTCTTAGCTATAAAGACGGCGAAACTCTTTTTTCTTATATTAACTCTACAAGGTAAGATCAATTTATAACACCTACCTCATTTCTAGAGGTGATCATTGGGCGGGTCGGGTCGGGCCAAAGCTAAAAAGTTATGCCCATTTTCAGGGCGGGCCAAACTTCGGGCCGAAATTTTTGTGCCCAAACCCGTCCAAAATGGTCGAGTCGGGCGGGCTTTTCGGGCCATTTCGGGGCGGGCCAAAAAAATCAGCTAAGTATGCCTAAAAACGCATTTCCAAACCTGCCCAAAATAAAAAAAAAATTCGGGCCGGACATGGCCCAGCCCGATTTCGGGCCGAAAATTTATGCTCGAAACCCGCCCAAAATTGGGCCGGGTCAACTTTGATCACCTCTATTCATTTCCTGTTTTTTGTGCATAGATATGGTGTTACAACTTTAGCTATATATGTTTATTTCACTTCAAATTTATGGATTAAATCGAGCCATGAGGTAGGTTTTTTCTTTTTATTTAACTAAGTTTGCTCTTGGATATGTATGAAATTGATGCTAGTACGGTGGAAGATCATGATATATACTTCCACTGTTTTCTTTTACTTGCAACACAATTATGGTCACACACTTTTAGGAGGTGACTAATGAAGGTAAACAAACAATTTTAATCATAATAATCATTTTAATAGCGAGAATAGAGAAGGTTAGGTACTGTATATGTGTAAAAATTATATTTATTTAATTTGTTTGTTTACATTGTATAATTTTGGCCTCAAAATGCATGCAACAAGGCTGTATTGCAAGTAAATAAAAGTCAAAAATTAGAATTAAGAAGGTGAGACGATTATATTTAGTTTTGTAAATAATATATGAATATCTAAGAAATAAAGATTGTAATTTGTAACAGGACTCCAACCGCGTCAATCAGTGGCGTAACAAATACATTGGGAGTAAAGCCATCTCCGATCATGGGTTCTTTCTCATCGAGGGGTCCAAACCAGAATAACCCTGGTATTTTAAAGGTATACGTACTCATTATTTTTATTTGATCTAATTATTACTTCTTTCATTCCTATTTGTTTGTCTCGTCGAAATGTATTATATTAAGGATTGAACCAAAATATAGGAAGTAGGTAATTAAGAGTATCTTTGTCTTTTATACTTATTAATGTATACATGCGGGGTTAACGGTGGAAACAGAGAAATCTTTAAGGGCCATCTTAGAAAGGAATATGGGGCAAACAAATAGGGACAGAGGGATTCTATAATAAATTCATTCATAAAATGGATTCCTTAGCATGCACAATATAGTTATTTAAAGTAATTTTACCTTGTGCGTATCCATCTACTACAGCCTGATGTTACAGCTCCTGGGGTAGATATTCTCGCTGCATGCCCTCCAGAAATCTTTCAAAGTTCTTATTGCATGAAAACCGGAACATCAATGGCAACTCCTCATGTTGCTGGTATTGCGGCTCTTATTAAGAAGGTACATCCGGATTGGAGTACTGCAGCTATTAAATCCGCAATCATGACAACAGGTATATATGTTCTTTACACGTGCAACATGATATGATATATTAGGTGTCAATTCAGAAGTATGGATCCAGTTTAATAATGTCAGGTCTAGTTTAAAGTTGAGTCATACTATTCATAATATTTGATTAGGTCGAGTCAGGTGAGTTTTTAAAACCTTATTATTATATCGTTTGTGTAAGCAACCTAACATTTGCTTGTGTACTCTATATATAATAATGCAGCAAGTCCCCTAGACAATGATGGGATGCCTATACGTGATAGTAATAAGACAAGTGATGCTACACCATTTGCATACGGATCGGGCCATGTTAAACCCAATATGGCAATGGATCCAGGGTTGGTATATGACATGAACCAATATGATTACCTAAACTTCATATGTGCATATCCTCCTGAGAGTACAACTCTTAAAGAATTTAGCCAACAACATTCTTACAAATGCCCGCGCTCCTTCAACATCTTGGATTTCAATTATCCTTCCATATCTATCGTGAATTTTACCGGCAATGCGATAGTTACTCGGAAGTTGAAGAATGTTGGACCACCAGGAACCTACGTTCCACGGATTGAGCCGCCGCCGGGTGTCTCAATTATGGTGGAGCCTAAGACTTTGGTGTTCTCTCAAAAAGATCAAATCATTGTGTTTAAACTTATCCTTACAGCGGATATCAATCATCTCTCCACCGATTACATTTTTGGAAGCTTGGTATGGTCCGATGCTAAACATGTTGTTAGAAGTCCTATTATTGTCAAGGCCAAAAATAAGTAGATAGTTAGACTATTGTAAATTCAAGCTACGTTTGGTGATGTTACGAGGTTATTAAGAAAAATAAATAAGATAGTGAAAAGTAATTATTACATATCACATATATGAAATATTAATTCAACGTTGGAAATAAGAATAATTATTTGCGTTGGAAATAGGTAAATAGTTATGTATTTAGAAATAATTTCATTGGATTTAGTTAATTATTTTAGTAATGTATGAGAATAGTTGTATTGGAAGTAGGCATATATGAAGAGAAATGTGTAAAATAATTTACATTGATCTATTGAAATGTAACTTTTGGAAACGCTTAAATAAAGGGATTATCATTTTTTCATTTTTACACTTTTAAGTTTTAACAAAGATACTACTCCTTTTGTTCCTTTTTTCTTTACTTTTTTCATTTTGGCTATTCATCTCTATTTTTTTACTAGGTTAAACCCCCGTTAGATGATAACTTAAGTAGCAGTTGCAAGAATTAATTGTATGCTTTTTGTTAATTTAAAATTTGATTTTTTTTTCGTGGCAGCTAGAGAACTACCTGTTATTTCTTCTGCAAACATTCTTACGGAGTAAGACATAACTCTTCAGAAAGAGCCCAAGTTTTTCATTCTAATGAAAAATACATATTATTTATTAAGTGGAAAGGTCGTACTAGTACTTGTAACAGAGATCTACTCTTTGTAAATATATTAGTAACAAAATGTCCTGTCTTCGTACATCCACAACTCTACTTCCCAACATCATCAAAAACATCAACACACTAGCACCTACAAAACTCATAAGATTATTAGGTACGAGTAACACACAAGAAAGTCAGAAAGTACACTTTAAACTTGTAACACCTAATAAGATTAAGTTTGGTTATGGGTTGGGTAGGGTAGGGTGACGTAGGACCGGCCTAAATTGGGTTTTGTGCTGGGTTGAAGAAGATGGACTTGTCACGGTTGAGTTTGTGGGTTAAGTGATGGGCCAAGTTTTTTTGGTGAGTTAAATATCTAATTAGATATTTCAAAATAGTTTTATTATCTAATACCACCTCCATTAATTTTAAGTTAGCATTATTTGTTAAATATAAAATATTGTTTTATTACAACTAAAAAATTAACAGATATAGTTTTTTTTTTTTTTTTTTTTTTAAAGGAAAAAGGGTGTAGTTTGTGGCCTTGTGGGTGGTGATTATTATTTATTAATTTATTTTTAAAATTTTAAGGGTGGTTATGTAATATGAAAAAAAGGTGGTAAAATCAATTTTAAGTGATTTAAATTTACAATTTTTCCTATTAAAAATTAAAGATATTATCAATTAAAGTTTTGTATTGACATACGTAATTAAGAGAAGCGTTTCACTTATTTAAATAAAGAGGGAGTCTTAGGTAGTGCCATTACTGTGGCATCCATTTAATAATGTCCAAAATGACGGCTCTTCTGTAATTATTGAGTGGAGAGTTTGTTACAAAAAATATTTAAAAATAAGGAAAGAAACAAAATAAAACAACCAACCAAAGAAGAAGATTAGCCTATTCTATAACATATTTTATTCAGATTGCTCAATTATCAAAAAAGAGGAGAGAGAAAAAATGGGAAAAGATGAATACTTTCCTCTGTTTGAGACGAAGCAAGCAAAGGGAAGATTGGTTTACAGGGTATTTGCAACATCTATATTTGTTGCAATTTGTGTAATTTTGATATATAGAGGTGCTTACTTACCCAACAAAAATGGGGAGGGAAGATTGGGTTGGGTTCTTTTGTTTATGGCTGAAATTTGGTTTACTTTTTATTGGATTCTTTCTCAACTTCTTCGATGGAATTGCATCTATCGTTATTCTTTCAAAGATAGACTCTCCAAAAGGTAACTCTTTTTTAATTTTTTTTTTTTTTTTCATCCATCATTAACACGTTTTTCACGTTTTTCGTTAGAAGGGTCTCGTAATGTTTTTTACATTAACCAAAATTATGCAGTGTTTTGTACTAGACTTATGGTTTAGGCCAAATCGGTCAACCCGAATTAGGCTACTAAAGTACCAATACTAGGCTCGAAGTGTGGCCTTAGCCGATTCAATTGGCTAGCCATTTTTTTGTTTGGATGTACCCTACTCGAATCAATTTTTATGTTCATTTATGTTGTCTTGCATCTCTTGCTTAATTAACTTTAAGGATTATTTTGTTCTTTTAAGTCAAATGTATTGTATCTGGTAATTTTAATTTATCAAAATTTATATTCGTTGTAAATTAAATTTAAAATGGGTCGAATTTGGCCAAAACAGTGTAATAATTATATTGACTTGTTGAGTATCCCTTTAGAATAGTGGTAGTGACTAATTTGCATCGCTGCTAATATTCTTGTGTGACTGAATTGTACAATGTATGAGTGACTTGCCTAAGGTAGTGAGCTAATGATTTGCTAATATTCCTGGATCCACCACTATAAATTACCCCTTACTCAGTTACCCCAACATACTAAACGACCCTTTAAAGTATTATTTCGAGTAATGACTAATATGCATCCTTGCTAATATTCTTGCTTAATTGAATTGTTACAAGGTATGAGAATGACTTGCCTAAGGTGGACATATTCGTATGCACAGCGGACCCATTAATCGAGCCACCACTAATGGTGATCAACACTGTTTTATCGGTCTTGGCCTACGATTACCCACCGGAAAAGCTCAGCATCTACTTATCCGATGATGGTGGCTCGGTTTTCACATTTTATGCTCTTTTTGAGGCCTCCCATTTTTCTAAGAATTGGCTACCTTATTGCAAAAAGTACAAGGTTGAACCAAGGTCACCTGCTGCTTATTTTAGATCAATGCCTAAACCTTTTGATGCTACTCATTCTAGCCATTTGGCATCTATCAAGGTACCCCTGCTATGCATATTCAAAGTATAACACGAGATATGTTGATTCATCTGATTTCGTCTAAAATTATTTTATCTATTTAATAATCCTCTAAACACTTTAAGAAAGAGATTAAGCCATGTTAATGGACATATTATTCAAAATAATTTATCTAAGTAGTTTAAAATTATTTTTAATAAAGTTACTCGTTTACCTCTTTTCAAAAAAAAAAAAAAAGTTACTCGTTTATCTACTCTAATCAACCCCTAATTAAAAAAGCCTGTCAAGAAAATCTGTTGCATTTAAAAGAAAACAGAGGAAGTATAGTTATTATTTAATATTCGTATTTGATCATCATAGAACAACAAATTAAAGCTAAAAGTTAAGTTTACTTACTTGCAAATATGAAGTATCATTTTAATTTGTTATTTCATTTTCTATTCAAACCAAAGAAATTGTATGAAGAGATGCGAAACAGAGTTGAGACGGCAACAAACCTTTGTCAAATTCCAGAAGAAGTACGCGATCAACACAAAGGATTTTCTATATGGGATGATGGCTATACTTCTAAACATGATCATGATACCATTCTTAAGGTTAATTACCTTCTCAACTACTTAATTACTATCCATTATTTTTCAGGTTGTGTACAATTTTGGCCTAGTTTGTTCTTTGAATTAAATGCTATGTGAATGAGTTTGTACTTGTTCATATTTGGATGATGTTAATTTTTGGTTATGTGTACGTTTGTAGATATTGGTTGATGGAAGAAATAAAGAGGCAGTAGATGTCGAAGGTTGTTGAGTCCCTTAGGTTTTGATTGATAGTTTTGAATGATGACAAACAGCTAAGGGAAACAGGTCCTTGAAAGTGTTCGATACAGTTGGGGGAACCAGCTAACATAGAACACTGTTTCCCCAGACAAGTTATTACTTACATGAGTTTTCTTATTGAACTAACTTGTCTTTATACAGGGAACAGTTATATGATAAAAGTGTTATGTACTGGTAGGGAACCAGTATGTACTGTTTCCATGGTTGCTACGTGGTAAAGCAGTCACATACTCTTTATTGTGCATTAACCATGTTACATGTGCAGTAGTTGAGTTGATTCCAAGACTTGGAGCATAGAAGCCTTTCGAAGATATTTCGAAGAAAGATTGTTTGCTCATAATAGAAGTATTCAAGGAAGATTCAAGTCTTGAAGATTACATGAAGAAAAGACGATTTATGCTTTAATATGTTATCTAGGTTTTCATGTAATATGCTCCGTAGTATGCTTGCATGTTTGGGTTATATAAGTGCTTAAAAGTATATTGAAGTATGATATGAAATCTGGTACAAAGTTGGAACAGGTTTCATAACATGTTTCAATTCAGGGAACCAGGTCGGGGAACCAGGTTCACTGTATTCGAGCTGCCGTTTTGGAAAAAGATTTTACAAAAAGATTTTTTCGAAAAGATTATCTTGAAAATATTTTGTGCAGCTGGAAATAAGATGAAATATTCTTGGTTACCTAAAATCTAGGAGTATTTATCTTAATTGATTCTATCTTTGTGATTAAATCAAATAAGATAAAAACTTTCCTAAAATTACATTATATCTTATTCTCTAAGATTGTGTGATTTAAGGAAACTAGGTTTTAGGAATCTAAGCTTATATAAACTCATCTTATTTCACATATTTCGTGTGCCTCTCCAGAAATCAAAAAGAGCAATTATTTGAGAGCATATACTTAAGCACTAATCCCATTCATCAAGTCATATACAAGAGCATTCTAGTACTTAAACTTTTTCTCTTAATTAGCTTCGTAGAAGTGAGATCAAAGGAGAGTTTTTGATTCTTGTATTGAGTCTTTAACAAAGGGGTTAAAGGCTGGGTGAGTGTTTGTGAGTTCAAACACATTGGGCTTACGAGTGTAAGTCGAGAGCACACTCGGAGTAGAGTGTGGGGTTTGCTGGTTCCCGGAGTAGGGAACAGCAGAGTGTTCTTTGTCTTTGTTTTTCGGAGTAGATTAATAAAGAACTTAGGATAGGAGGACGTAGGCCTGAGTTGGCTGAACCTCGTTAAATTTGTTGTGTTCTTTATTGCTTTGTTTTATTTCGTTAAATTTGTTGTCTTCTTTATTGCTTATTTATATTCCGCTGCGTACGGGAACCAGCACAACTGGTTCCTCACACATAATCCGAAAAGAAGCAAAATTAGCCAACGATTACTTAACACTCAATTCACCCCCCCCCCCCTCTTGAGTGCCCATTGAACCTTCAATTGGTATCAGAGCCTAAGCTTCTCGAAAGAGTAACATCTAGAGGAGTTAAGAATGAGTACTCAAGAATTAAGTGCAATCGGTTATGACAACAAGTCACCCAAGTTTAATGGAAATAATTATGCTTGGTGGAAGAACAGGATCCAGAATGTTATCATGGGTATTGATTATGAATGCTGGCTCGTAGTTAAAAATGGTCCTAATATCATTCTCAAGACAGATGTTGAGGGGAACCAGGTTCCCAAGAAGGATAGCGAATTGGTCATTGCTGATTACAAGTTGCTGGAAAAGAATGCTAAGGCAATGTCAATACTACAACAAGCAATAGGTGAGACCGAAACAAATCGTATCTCTGGCTGTAGTAGTGCTAAGGAGATATGGGACACCCTTGAACTTGCGTTTGAGGGAACCAGCGAGGTAAAACGGTCTAAAATTGATTTAATCATGTCTAAATATGAATTGTTTGCCATGAATAAAAATGAAAAAATCAATGATTGCTTTCGTAGGTTTATGACTATTGTAAATGATCTTAGATCTCTTGGTAAAAATTTATCTGACGAGGATCTTGTGAGAAAATTATTGCGTAGTTTAACAGATGCATGGACAGCCAAGGTAACAGCAGTATATGAAGC